TTACTGAACTTTTGTTGGATCATTGATCAGCACTGTCTGCAATCTCATTGTATGAATGTTCAGTTTACATGCTTTAATTTTATAATTTGGACAACTATTTCAAAGATGACAATATGTAACCTATTAACTAGTGCTACCTTACTGTATTTTTTCCTTGAAATTCTGTATTATTTGTACCCTTTTACTGCTTTGTTTTTTAATTTTATGTCCTTTCTTTTTTCTCTTTAAATAAAAAAAATTTAAAAAAGAAAAAAAATTATTGCAGTAGAAAATGAAAAAAAAATAGAAAATGGCTCAAATTATAAAGAAATTAAAAATTTAAACGGTATGAAATCACTAGTCACATATTGTCAGCTTAGAAATAGTTGTTCATGTTACAAAATTAAAGCATGTAATGAGGATATTCAAACAGTGAGACTATAAACATTTCTGTTCAATGATCAAACAAAAACTCAGTAATATGTATATCTATTTTATACACTTAAATATATATGCAGTTTTATCCTTTGGAGCTCTTATTTTCTTCTATTTTTTCAATGACAATTAAACATTTTGGGTTTTATAACTCTGGCAGTTCTTATTACTTTTTTAAGAGAATAAAACCAAATGTGATATAACAAAACAGAGTCAGTCAAATCAAAAAGATGGACATAGTACATGATGTAAAAACAGAATATAAGGTGATCAACTATGGTTCCATAATGCCTCTTGCTTTTTAAAAAGAATTGCCTATATCATCAGTTATATCAAAATTCAAAAAAAACAGTAAAGAACAAAACCAATAAAACCAAAATATTGGAGACTTTACAAGACTTCAAAATAAGATAATAGTCAAACTGAAAAGGGCATCATAGTGAATCTTATTGCTTCACAGTATTTGCCTATACTTTCAAACTTGGTCCTTTCAAGCAAAATAGAATACAGTAAAATCAGTAAAAACAAGATGGTGAGAGCAATATAGGGTTTCAAATCAAGTTAGTAAGAAATCAAAGTGTGTTACTATAATGTATTCTGCTATTTTTACGTGTTTTTTCTTTTTATCGGTAACAGGGATTGAACTCACGACCACCTGCTTGCAAGACAGGTGCTTATGCCACTGAGCTAAATCCCCAGCCCTATTCTGCTATTTTTAAATTTATTTTTCCCTTAATTAAAAAGATAAAAATAAAAAATAATAAAAAACGAGACTGAGATAAAAGAGGACATAACAACAAAACAGCACAGGTCAGAACATAACCATTTAGGCAAAATAATTTTTCACCACAAGATATCACAATGTAACAGTAGATACCATAGTGTTTCTTTCCTTGAAATCTTTGAGTATATCTTTGTATACTGTAGTATCAAACATATCAAAACAATGCAAAACCACTCAGCTGAATGAGAGTATTACAGTGTATTTAGAACCAACTAACAGAAAATGAACAATGCTTTCTATATTATGTCCTTATCTATAAAAGTTATTGTTTATATTATCAAATATAATAAATCCAATAAGACACAATATGTTAAGACTGATAGAGACAGAAGAACAAAACCTTGATGGGACTTCAAAAAAAGATGATGTTAAATCAGCACTAACTATTATGATGTCTTGTTTTCTCCAAAAAATCAGTTCATTTCATCCAACTTTCTCTGCCTCATTTCTGTTGAGCTCTTTTTCTGTCATTAGTTATCAGTTTGTGTTCTTTGTTTCTCTTTCTGCTCCTTTCATTGTGGCCTCTCTGCCACAGTTTCTGGAATCTTAGTATTTTTCTCTTTTAGAATGTCCTTCAATATTCTCTGTAGAGTTCAATTGGTGGTTGCAAATTCCCCTAGTTTGTCTTTTTCCTGGAAGCACCGTGTTTCACCATTAATTTCTTGGGACAGTTGTGTAGGATATATCAATCTTGTCTGGAGGTTATTTTCTTTTAAAGCTTCAATTATTTCACCCCATGCTCTTCATGACTTGATGGTTTCTGCTGAGCAGTGTGCTGTAATTCTGGTGAGTGTTCCCTTGTAAGTGACCAGTTTCTTGTTTCTGACAGCTTTTAACATTCTGTTCTTATATTGGATTTCTGTAATTTTGATTATTATATGCCTGCGTGTAGGTCTGTGTGGGTTGTGTGTGGCTGGAGTCCTGTATGCCTTATTTATCTGAGTATCTTTAGCTTTTCCCATATTGGGGAAGTTCTCCTTTATTTTTTCTGTAAATAACCTTTGCAGTTCATTTGTTTGTATCCTTGCTTCTTTCTTTATATTCTTAATTCTTAAATTATAGATCCCCGTATCATCTTCATGCCTTTGTATTGTGACTGCTTCTTTCCTTGTTATTTTTAGGAAGTTTTTCTTTTCATGCTCCCACATTACAAATCTGTCCTCTAGTTCAGATAATTTATCATTAGTTTCTTTCAAGCTGTTATGCCAGATTTTTATAGAGTTTTTAGTTTCTTGGTAATCTCTTTGAACTTTCTTTATGTATTCTACATTTTCTGTATTTTCTCCATCAAGTAATTCTTCTCGTTTCTCTGTTCTTCCATTTCACCATTTTTTGTGGGAGGTGCTTAGCATTTCTTTAACTATTCTACTTATATCTTGCTTTACTTATTTAAGTACTTCACATTTGAACTCATCTATGAGGTCCCAGATATATCACTTTATGTCTATTAGTGTCATGCCTGATATTGCATATTTTCTGTTCTCATTTTCATTTGCATTTACCTTTCCTGGATCAGTGTTCTCAGGATTGGGGGCTGAGGACCTTTTCTTGTTGCTCCCTCTTCCCATACATTTTGTTCCTTCCACAAAAGCGTATATAGGATGCCCTGTTAGAATCATGCCATCTAGGTGTTCCCACCACTACAGTGTAATAGGGCGACACAGATCTAAGCATCCTATGATGGGCCTGCCCTTCCAGGTCAGTCAACCTGCTGAAGGCTTCACTGCATTATAGTGCAGTGATATGTGCAGGGACCTCATTTGGGCTCGCCTACTGGGTCTTAGTCAGTAGCATCACCCAGGTCAAGCACTCCCCATCAATCACATTTGAGAGGGCAATATGTGACTGAAATCACTGCAGTGTCTTCTTCTGGCTAGTGTGCCCAGTTCCAGAATGTCCTCTGTTGGAAGCTCCTAGTCTATGGAACTCCTAGTACCTGTTCCTCTCACTCACCACAGGTCAACTGAGGGCTCCCTGCTAGCTCTGCTCTCAATTCAGTTTGAGAAATCCAGTTCTGAGTGCATTCATATCTCTATCCCTGGTGTGCCCATTCATATGCACCAGTGGCAGTAGGAAATTTAAGCTGCAATTTTCAGAGGCACGAGTTCCAACTATGGCACTGAGATTTTCCCTGTTCAAGTTGTAGCACTGGGATTGAATTTCCAGTTGTTTCTCTGAGCTTAGTTTGTTCCTAGGTTGGCAGGGTATAACTTACCCTGCTTAGGACTCACCACACTGCACAACTACTGGAATCTAAGCTGGTTATCTCAGAAAGACTCCATAGCTGCTGTTATCTATCCCACATGTTCTCCTACCATGATAATAGATTTTCTCCATGAAAACTTGAAAAGCTGACAGATGTGGACACTCGCAAATTCACACAAAATACTAGCTAATTGTAGAGAAAAGCTTTCACCAAGAGAGATGGACATGAAAAATCTCCAGGTTGGAGTGAGTTTGTTGCAAACTTCATGTGTTCTTGAGGAATTTTTGGCTTCTAACCTATCAGTGTGACCTCCTATTTCCAAGGTCAGATACTCCTGCCCTGAAAAACTTTGTAATATTCTCTCCTCCATAAGAAAAGTAAAGCAGTAATTTCTCCTATTTAAAACCACTCATAAGTCTCCAGGAGGCAAGAGAAAACTCAAAGGTAACTCTAAGAGCAGAACAGGATGTCTTCCTAATCTAATCATCTTTGTTTGTGGGACAACTCACTTGTTTGCTGGATGTGCCTTCCCCAGAGGATGTTTGCCTAATCTAAACATGCTTGTAGCCCAGTTTTTATCTGAAATGGCTCTACCCAAGAAATTGGAGTAAATATGGAGTAAACTCCATATTACTGTTCTGTCGTGCATCACAAAAACTCCCCCTGCATTGTGGGACCAGCAGATGTTTGCAGTTTTACACAATAAAAACACTACCCTTTAGCTGTTATACATCCAGTCTTTCATATTGGCTATTGTAGGCTGCATTGGCTTTAATAAATAATTTTTTTGTCTCAAAATTATTTTCTCTGGCTATTTCATACCTCAGGAAGTGGACTACCACTTTTCGGGGCTCATCTGGGATGTAATAACTGCCCACTGCCTCAATTCCTGAGGATTGATTCCCTAAGAGTAATTAATGGAGCTTTCTATTTGATTGAAAGTGGTACCACAAAGCCTTAATTTTGTTTAGAATGGCCAGCCCTCCTCCTTGGCCTGTTAACTAGTCTAGATCACTCATTTTGGAGTCTCTTGAATCATTTGGGTCTTGGACCCCAGCAGGACTGCCCTCCAATTTGATATTGGAATTTGAAGGGAAGTCTCAAACCTAAATTCATTTATTTTGCCAGAGAAAGGGTGTTTTAATTTTTACCAGTATCAGTGGTTTTGTTATTGTGTTATGTCTTTGTGTAGTCCTGTCTTGTCTCGTGTTATTTGTTCTGACTTTTCCCTTGCAGGACACTTGGGCCTGAGAGGTCACATGTTCCCTTGGACCAACTGCCATACATTTAGTTGCTCTGAATGTGCAGATGGTTTTCTTTTAAACCTCAGGTGATGCTCGGGCCAGACAAAGAAAAACCCAGGATTTGTGATTCACTACATATTGTTCTGTCTCTTCTTGTATTTGCTGACATTTTCTCTTGATTTCCTCCTCTCACAGAGAACCAAAGCAGGCAACAATGGGTCAGTCCAGTGTGAAAACTTGTTCCACACCCCTTAGTCTTGTCATAGATTCTCATAAAGAATTTGAGAAATCAGGTGAGGGTTGCAGGGAGCCTGTTTTCAAAGGAATGCTAATGGTTTTTGCTTCTCACTAGTGGCTGATAGGGACAAATGGCGTCTGGGCCCCAACCGGATCCTTTGACATGGGCAAAGCCTAGCCTTTCTGCTGGTATGTGTTTGGGCCCCTTTCTCACCCAGATTAAATTTTTTACATTCAGATTTGGATAGATTTCATCTATGATTCTCCACAGTGGATTAATTTTTCCCCATGGGTTGAGGTGGTGGCAACATTGAAAAGGAAACCAAAATTACCTGCGCCTGACTCCCAACCCTCTGTGCCAGTTTTACATCAGTGGAAGACTCCCGGAAGGTGTTCTCCTCCCTCCTCCTTATTCCATAATAGAGACCCCCTCACCCAAAGGCTCCTCCCACCCTCCCAGTCTGATCCTGACCTGATGCAGACCGCGGCCAAATTTTCCTGATTCCACCACAGAGGAGTCAGCAATTGGCCTCTTTCAGGAGGTTCCTGACTCCTGGGAGCCAAGGGACTCGATTTTTGTCTATACTCATTTTGCCAATTCTGACATATATACTTGGAGGGGCCAACCCCCCCATTTTGCAAGGATCCCCAAATCCTTATTAGTCTAATTAAATCTATCTTTTCCACCCATTTTTCTACCTGCTACAAATGTCAGCAGATTTTAAGAGATCTCTTCACCTCTGAAGAATGACTTTGCATCCACACTCTAGTGAAAAAATGCATCTTGGACCTAGACATGGCCCCCATGGCTGATCCAGAATGACTAGAGTGTTCTTTTCCTTTATCCCACCCTGACTGGAAACCTAACACATATGGAGGTAGGCAGGGTCGGCCTCAATATCACCAACTGTTTCTAGGGGCATAGCACAGGGCAGCCAAGAAGCCCATGAACATGTCCAAAGTATCAGAGGTAAGGCAATTGGCTGATGAGTCCCCTTCTGCATTCCTGGAGTGCCTCTGATAGGCCTATAGACTCTATACTACAATTGATTTAGTCACACAAGAGAATGCAAGCACTATTAATATTGCTTTGTATCTCAGTCAGCCCCAGATATTAGAAACAAAAAACTACAGAAATTAGAGGGATTCGAGGGGATGCCCTTAATTCAATTAATAGAGATAGTATATAGGATGTATGACAATAGAGAGATCTCACAAGAGGCAATGAATAAGAAGGTCACAAAGGTGTTACAACTGTTATGTGAAAAAGAAACTAAGCAGAAACAAACAAAAGACAGATGAGAAAGTCAAAAAGTGTTCCCATCTGAAAAAGAACCAATGTGCTTATTGTAAAGAAATAGGGCACTGGCAAAAGGACTGCCCAAATTAAAGGCAAAAATGGAAAAGGATGCGAAGATTTTGCTGAGCCAATAATGAGGGTATCAGGGCTAAAATGACCATCCCAAAAGCAGGATAACATTGCAAGTGAGAGTAAAACCAGTAAATTTCCTGGTAAACATGGGCACAACTTATTCTGTTCTAACTCAACCATTGGAGATTCTGACTGATAACAAAGTAAACGTGGTCAGCTCGACCAGAGGTTGAAAATCATAGCCAAAGATGGTGGCCCAGTTAACTCACCCTGGGCAAAATAGCACTATGCATGAATTTCTATGGGTTCTGGAATGCCCTGATGCACTGCTAGGAAGAGTCCTTCTTCATAAGTTAAAAGTTCAATTGAGTTTTCAAGCAGAGACCCCAAACTGAACAAATCAAGGTACTTGCCTTCCTTTCTAAAGGGAGAATCATGTAGTGCTGGGAGATAATCCTACTTTAGATACTGACAAAGATCTCCTGAAGGCTTGGCAAGTGGAGATAGCAGGAGTCTGCTTAAGTGATAAATAAAGATCCTCTGGTAATAGAGTTTTGCCACAGGTTTCTGCCATCCATCTTAAGCAATGTCCAATAAGTTTACAGGTCCCTCAAGGAATTGCAAAACATATCACTGTATTAAAAGATAATAAAATTCTTGTACCTTGTATCTTTCCCTTGAAATACACCATTTCTCACAGTCCAGAACCTGGGGACCCAAGATTACTGACCATTGCAATACCTCTGGAAAGTCAACATGCAAGTGGTTACTCTGCATCCTATTTTTCCTTATCCCTACACCCTGCTGAGCCTTTCAAGCACAGAGTACATCTGGTACTCAGTCTGGGACTAAAAGATGCTTCACCCTCCTGGTGGCTCCAGTAAGCAAACTCATTTTTTCTTTTGAGTGGAATGATCCAGGGACTGGAGTAACTGAACAATTGACTTGGACACATTTACCACAAGGTTTTAAAAATGCTTCCACTTTATTTGATGAGGGCTTAACTAGGGACCTGATGGGGTATCGAGAAGATCACCCACAGGTCATATTTTGTAAAATGTTGATAACTTATTAGTAGCTGCTAAAAATTTTGAGGATTGCAAGAATGCAACCAAGACCCTGTTAATGACTTTAAATGATTTGGGCTACAAGGTTTCAGCAAAAAAGGTACAGATATGAGAGCAGACAGTGACTTACCTGGGATATCAATTAAAAGGCAGAAAAAGGAACCTTTCAAATAAAAGGGTTCAAGCCATCCTACACATACTGGCACCAAAAACCAAAGTGCAAGTGCCTGAATTTCTTGGTGCAGTTGGATATTGTAGGCTCTGCATATTAAACTTTGCTGGGATAGCCCAACCACTGTATGATTCTTTAAAAAGGCAAACACAAGGCCCACTGGAATAGACAGATATGCAAGAGACTTCATTCCAAAAATCAAGGCAGGCCCTAGTGGATTCCCCTGCACTAGGATTCCCTAACCTAAAGAAGCCATTTTTCTTGTATGTAATGAGCTGAGAGAAATTCCAAAGGATATAATAACCCAGGAACTGGGACCCTGGCAGAGACCAATAGACGATATGTCCAAGAGGCAGGACATGGTGGCCAACAGTTGGCCAATGTACTTAAGAATCATTTTTGCTGTGGGTGTGTTGATAAAGAAAATTAAAAAGCTCACTTGTGGCCAGAAAGTCACTGTGATAACCTCCCCCTGGCTTGAGACTATTATCCTGGCCCCACTAGATCGATTGCTATTGAATGCAAGGATAATACATTACCCAGCACTTCTTTAAATCCTGATTCTGTTGTTTTCAGTTCCTCAGCAGCCATGAATCCAGCCAAACTTCTGCCCAATGAGGATCCAGCAGCCCCATAACATGAATGCTCCACCTTGATTGGCAGCTACCAAAGCCTTCGATCTGGCAGAGCCACAAACCTCTAGAAGGGGAACCACCATTCTTCTCAGATGATACCAGCTACATGTACCACGGTGAATGGGTTGCAGGGGCATCCGTGACCTCTGAGATCCTTATTTTGTGTGCACAGAGGCTGCACTCTGGCACTTCTGCTCAGCGAGCTTAACTCTTCTCTTTGACAGAATTCTGAAAACTTGCTGAGGATAAGTGGATTAACATTTACATTGATAGCAGATATGCTTTTGCTACCACTCATGTACATGGAGAAATTTATCAGGAGAGAGGACTATTGATTTCTGCAGAAGATAAAATGGAAATGCACCACAAATATTAGACTTGCTGGCAGCGATTTGCTTACTTGAGAATTTGGCCATCATACATTGGAAGGCACAACAAAAAGGAGATGATCCTATTACCAGGGAAAATAATTTGGCTGATATGCCATCCAAGGAAACTACCATAAAATCAGTGGCATCTACAGAGGGGATATAGAGGAAACCACTCCTACCCTCTTGATGATGCTTCCAACATTATCAGAACCCATGTATAAACAAAAGGACCTCCACTTTGCCCCACAGCTCCAGGTTAAGCCTGACATTCCAGCAGGCTGGTATCAGTCACCATATAAGAGAATATTGCTGCCCAAAGCCTCCAATGAAAGCTCATTCAGAAAGCTCATCAGTCCACTCATTTGGAAGGATGAAAACTAGCCCAGCTCTTTTTGGACCAATTCTTTATACCCTAGCTGTCCAAACTGATAGTGGCTACAAGGTCAAGAAGTCCTTAATGTCAATCAACTAACCAAAAAAGACAGCTCCACATAGAAACTGCTTGTTTTTGAGGATTTTCCCAGGAGAACACTGGGAAATAGGCTTTACTGAAATGAAGAACCTGGTCTCCAGAGACACAAATACCTGCTAGTGATCATAGATACCTTCACTAGATGGGTAGAGGCATTTCCCACCAGATCATAATCGGCTTTCACAGTGGTTAAAAAGTTGTTATATGAGATAATTCTTAATTCTGAGGTACCCTTATCTATGGGGTCTGACAATGGCCTGGCTATCATAGCCCCAATAACCCAAAAATCAACCCAGGGGCCTTACAGATTGATTGGAAACTTCATTGCATGTACAGATCTCAAAGCCCAGGGCAAGTATACAGGAGGAAAAAGACATAAAAATATGACTACAAAGTTGTCTCTGGAAACCGCCGATAATTGGGTAAGCCTCCTTCCTTTTGCCCTCCTATGACCCAATGTACTCTTATGTTTCTGGTATATCCCCTTTTGAAGCAGTGTATGGGAGGCCCTCTCCACTCACTCCAAAGTATCTGTGGAAAAATTGACAGAATTGATTAACCAAGTCCTCATTAATTCCCTGCAGCCTCTTCAGCCTATCTTGAGCTCCATACTTTTTTTATTCTGGCTGAGGCATCCTCCGGTAAACTCTCACTTTGAGTCCATGGTGTTGGTGGAACCTGGTACTCTGATCCTAGTCAAGCGCCACCAAAGAGACAGCCATGAGCCTCACTGGGAGGGATCTTACACCATCGTGCTCAGTTCTCCCACTGCAGTAAATGTGGCTGGCAAGACTCCATGGATTATTCACCACTCCCACATTAAGGACCTGGACGCCAAAGAAAAGCAATATTCTCAAGACTATTGGACTCTGCAACCAACTGGTAACCCTCTAAAGTTAAAGTTCACCAGGTGCTCTTGACTGTAATAGACATGTATCCCATCATTGCACTTTTTAAATTATAACTTGATAGTTTCTGCTCCTTCTAAGCTTGTGCATGGACACAATTTATGGAACTTGGACTACATATAATGAAATTTCTCATAATATGATAGAAAATTTTGAAACTGATCT